TAAAAACTTACTTAAAAATAAACCATTTCAGGGCTGCAATATGCATCCTAAGGCAGAAAGGATGCATTATGTCCTATGCTGTTCACCCTTACCTGACATTTGCCACGTAAATAGAGAATTTGTAAAGAGGGGGAGGGAAAGTTAGGCACAGACCAGCACAAAGTGCAGCATCAATGCAGAATTCTAGCAAGAGCTGTCAGTGGGCCAACCAGCGGTTCCTGCAAAGGGGAGGGAATCTGGTCACATTTCATGTGTCAGACACATCCAGTGAGTTGATGTATGGCTTCCCCATCAAACTCAAGCCTGAAGGCAAAACAGCAATCAGACTTTCCAGCTACATCCAGCTGTACAGGGACCCAATCCCTCTTCTACCTCACAGCTGCTCAGGGGCCAATACAGAGCATACTGCTGCTTCCCTTGAGATCCCTAGAGGACACAAATCCTTGGTCCACTTACTGAAAGACTCAGCTGGGAAGTTAATGACCCAACAGACCACAAACACTAGAATTTCCTCCCCCTGCTGAAGAGCCTCCAACCAATTTGAAACTAAGACACACTGCTGAGGGGCAGCTGGGCATCAGCTGAGGCTGCCACTGCCAGTACATCTTTCCCTCTGAAGTCTATGGTAGGGGACACCACCCTAGAATTAGTTTAATAGATCTGCAGCCATAACACAGTATTGGAAAGGATGGAACCTTGGTACTTTTATATCAAGGGTGGCTCCTGTCTAAAGAACAGCAGCCTCAGGTAGCCCTGTACCTTGTCTTGTCAAACTCCAGCAATTTGTCCTTGTGTTTCACAGCCATCTCCAGGCCTGCTTTCAGCCGAGCTTCCTGGCGAGGCAGTAGGTCCCTGCTGAGTGCCTCCATCTTCCCAGAACTCTCAGAACCTGCATTATACAGAAATAAAGCACTCAAGAAAGGGCTGGCCACTAAATATTACTTGTGCAGGAGCAGACTACACTCCCAAGAATGCATGACATTAAAACAGTTTAAAGATGCAACATTTTTTAAAATGACCTAAATCCTATCTCCCTGCTTTCCCCACTGCCACTGTCCCCACCCTTGCCCCAATCTCTTTCAGCTTTCTGTCTCCCAGGAGGTAAGATGTCCTGGTCTGAGCAGTGGCTGACTGCTGCATGCAGGGTGGGCCCTGAACCAGCTAGAGCAGATGTCATGTGTGGTGTGCATCCAAGAGGGGAGCTGTGTGTGGCGCAGTCCAGCCAAGGTGGGCACTGCATGGACTGCACTGTACACAGCACCTATTGCTCCAGGATCCATGTTGTATGCAATACGGTTCCCAGATAGCCTGGAGCAGCCACCAAATTGGGTTTGTTGAGGGAATAGAAGGGAGAAGGGGAGGCGTTGCATGGATTTGATCTGAGCTGTAGATTGGTCCTGCACCATGGGTGTGTGCAATGCCCTGTATGAGTCTGATCAGACCCAGAGGCAGCACTGGGGGATAGATGGCAGGGCTCCACAGTGTTTGATAACCATTTTAGGGCCTAGTCTCAAGCAGGTTAATTCAAAGGAAAGGCTTCCTTCATTTCAACTGGCTTTGCAACAGGCCCTTCCCAGATATAGGTGTTTGGGTTATTTCTCACCTAAAGTGGTGCACTGGGAATATATCCACCCCGCCCCACCCCCAACTGATGGACATTTGACTCCTAGTGAGGCTCTGTAACAGGCAAGCACAACTCTGTAATCCTCACTCAGGAATTCTCAGAGCTTAGGAACTGAAAGTCTTCTCTTATATCAGGGCCAACAGCTAAGGGCTTGATCTTGTGCCACGTGCTATTTCACACCAAGGAGGGTCTAACAGTGTTCACATGGGAGCGTGACAGTACTGAGCCCTGAGGATCCCAAGTCAAGAAGTTTATTCCACTGACTCATGTTGTACATGACACTAAGGCTCCTCCAGATCACTCATACATCCCGCACACACCATTGGAAAAGCAGATGCATCTGAAATGAGATACAAAAAGCCAAGAAAGAGAGAGACTAAAAAGAACTTCTTAAGCAAGCCAGAGTCTGTCATTTAACAAAGCCAGCTCCAGCCTGCCCCCAATACCCACCATCCATTCAGGCTGGATTAGACTTCAAGGCAGCACCAGCAGATTGTGCCTTGTCAAAGCTCTACCCATGGCCAATCTCCAACGGAGGATACGCCAGAGGCAAAGACCTCCTCAGCCTTTTAAAAGCATTTCAAGGAGCATCACTTCAAGGCACCGGATTAGCAGTAGTCAAATCTGAACCTTTTATTTATCCACAAACCCCCTACTACTGCCCAGCTGAAGAAGCCCCCCTGCCCCCAGCCCCCCCCCCCCCCCACCACACCCACACCCAAGTTTCAGCATTTGCAAACTGAAAAGGCATCCCCCCCCCCCCCCCCCCCCCACACACACACACACACACACACACGCAGCCCAACAAGATGGCTTAGTGCAACAAGTTTCACAGGGCTGAGGGGAAGTCAGGGCCAGCACCAAACCCTGGCTTCTGGCTAAAAGAGGCCAGAATTCATAAAAAAAACTGTTAACCTTGTAGCTGCGATGAAACCTGCCAATGTGCTCCACACAGAACACTGCAAAGCCTGCTAATGGAGAGGGCCAGGATTTAAAGAGGTGGAAGGCTCTACATTTTCCCATTGTCACTGAGCCGTATCTGTGTGCTGCAGAGAGAGACAGCTAATCACCCTTCAGCTTCAGCTAGGAGAGATAATGAAGAAATGAAACTGAGCAAAGGGAGAGGGCAAAGCACTGAGAAGGCTGGGGACTGACACTCCTGACACTGACTCACATCAAACTCTCTGCAGAGAATTGCCAGTTGCCTGACATTATTTGCAAGAGAAAGGGCAGCTCTAATTTTTAGGGATTTAGGAAGCAAAGGAACAGAAGCTTATACCAACACCCAACAGTTGAAGAGCTCCCAAGTTCTTCAGTAAGGTTTTCCCAGAGCTTTATCAACATGGATGTTTCAGCCAAATTAATGCAGGTAACTCTCGTAATCCACAAGTGCTCAGTAATGGGATTGGTTATTTACTTGGCTTCTGCCCTCAAATCTTTACCACCCAGTATGAATTTCAGTTACAAAATGTTATTAGCAAGAACGTCAACAATAGCTGCTTCTCTCAAAAACCTCTAAATCACATTGCTAGTTTCCCTGGTTCTCTGCAGAAGACACTCTACAAGGATCTTTTATTCTCACTGGAAAGGACTGTAAACATCTGATTACTGTGAATAATTCAGACTAACACATCCAGACCTCATCCACCCCTGCTACAGCCTGCAGAGGCCTGTCACATGCTGAGCAAGAAGCAAAGTTAGTGGGCAAACGGGCATCAGCAAGATTCTCATCCAAGGAAGGTGCCACAGCACAGTGGAGATGGCTGCCCAGGGAAGACTTGGGAGCAGGGCTTTGGCAATTATCTCTGAGGTGCTTAGATAGTAGACAAAAAGTCAGGTGATCAAGTCTCTCAGTCCCAACATACAGTTATCAAAAGCTCCTCCCTATAGCAAAAAAAAAATTAGTAGATTCAATCTGCTAAGGAGAGAGCAAGACTTAGTCCCTATCTACTACAAAACAGTGATATAAGCCTGCAGTGTGGACATACTGATACAGCAGGGCTTACCCTGCATCTAATTTTTCAGATGAGCTACATTGCCACAACATGGTGGCTACCAACCTGTCAAGAGCTTCTTCAGCAGCTTCTGGCTCTTGTTTGAGTCACGCTGCAGAATGTCCTGCTCTTCTTTTGTGCACACCTAGAAAAGAAACAGATATTTGGCACCTGAGAATCTCAGAGTCCTGGACAAGACTTAAAGGCAAGGAGCAAAAGCTAAAAAAGATGAGGGCAGGCCTTTTCTGCTTCTTTGTAGCTCACCTTGAGCTAAGTGTCACAAACCCCAGAGAGGCAGGGAAGCATCATTTTATTGTACAACTGGGTAAATCAAAGCCAAACCATGCCCTCTTGTGGAAAGAGGGGAGACAGGATGGTGAACAAGGAACAGAAAATAATTCACATCAACTTTTCCTAGTCTCATTTTAAAAACAGATACAATTGTGTGGCTTATGGGAAGGATTCTCCCCCTTTTTTTATCTAAGTCAGGAGAAAGGGCCAAGGCGCACTGAAACCTCTAGTTCTAGATCAGTAGTACTTAAACCTTTTTTGTACCAGGACCAATTTGTATACATTGGTGGCCAGTCCCAACCCAGTGCCCCTCATACCCAGCCCACTGCCCCCCACCCCAGGCCCCAGTCTCCCAGTGCATGGGGCATGGGGAGCCCCAAGCAGCCCCTTGCAACTTTCCCTAAAGATAAATCCATTTTTAAAGTTTGTTGATCTATTCTTAAAGTTTGTTCATGACCCTTTCATATATTCTTGCGACTCACTTTTGGATCACGACACACAGGTTGAGAAACACTATTCTAGATGGACAGTGTCCTCCTTGTGAGTCAAGTCAGCCAAAAGACTGCTTTCAAAGGATTCAAATCGTAACTTTTAGATTAGGGGATGTGTCATTGCAGGGCTGTGACATATTCCAGGCAGACCCTGGCCCATGAAACAACCCAGGAAGCTGCCATAACTTAGACAAGCCCCAGGGTTATGTAAAATATACATCCACACCTTTAAGTCTTGCTTCCCACCCATCCCCTAGATGCAATACATTCTCACCCCAGAAACCTTTTGTGAATCACCCCAAGGCTTTGATCTGGAAGACAAGTTCAGAATAGGAAGTCTTTTGCACATCTCCAGGAGACAGAAGCTAGTGAGGCTAATCCCGCCCCGCAATATCTCAAAGACCCAAACACAGCACACTACAATAAAGTATGGAAAACAAAAAAAGCGGAAAAAAACAGGGTGTTACGTACCAGTGCACCACAGAATAAGCAGGGACCAGAGCCCTCCTGTTCACAGACAATACGCCCACAAGTCAGGCAGTTATTGATGAGTTTGTGCTTCTGGCCAAGGCACTCACAGGAATGGCGCCCAGGAATGAGGACAGTAAGCTTATCCTGACCCTCTTTGGTGTACAGGTTGACATATTTGGTCTTTTTCTTGGAAGAACTGCTGCTGTTGTTACCACTGCTGATGATCTCTTGTGCCTAATTTGCAAACACCAAGCAACAACTTTAAACTGAGTTCTCACTGCAACTTAACCATGAAAGAGAAGATACTGGCTTCTAAACAAACCATGTGGTCAGAAGCAACCAGACAGCTCCAGCCACTATCCAACCAGGCCAGTTTCACTAAACACATCAGTAAGTCAAGGGAGAGTTTCCCTATGTGGAAGCCTCCAGTTTCAGTGGTTCTCAACTATTTTAGATTCCAAGCACCCCTCAGAAAATGCCAGCTCTTAGCTTGTAGTTGTTTCTTGACTATAGAAAAATGATACGAGCAATTCTTCTGCTGCAAAGAACACAAAAAGACCACAGCGTATGAGAATGATTTTAAGACTATGGATTCTTCTTTGAAAACTCTGGATTTAATCTTATGTGGTCCCCTGGTTGAGTTACTGCTTTGATTAAATCAAGTGGTAAAACAGCAAATCAAAGTGCAACCCCTCAAGTTTAGCCTGAAGGAATCCCATTACTAGCATTCAGACGCAGCCCATTGCAACTACATGCCCCCGCACGCAACATTCCATCCTGAGTCTAAGGACTTAGCTCAGAAGCACTGTATAGGAGTCTTATTTTTTGGCAGGTTGCATTTCCATATTAAAGATAATGCTGGCTTATCCTGTTCTATCCAATACAAATTATAAACTTGGAAGTTGGGTTATACAATCAAGCTTCTGAGGCTAGCAGCTGGCTAGAGAATGGGATTCAGAAGGGAAGCAAGCTGTTTCACCAGTCAAATAATCAGACCCCTTCCAAACTCTGCAAGCCATTGGTTAAAACTTTCAGCTTCCTCTTTCTGACACTCAAAGCTTTTCACATGAATGAGCAGGAGGCAAAGCAACATGAAGAGCTTTCAGCTGTCAGTTGAAGCTTTCTCCACCAGGAGCAGAAGGCTCCCAACAGAGAAGCTACAACTGATTCTCCAACATCCCATTTCTATTAGATCCTACATGCAAGCCAACTCCACTCTAAGCCTCTCCACCAACCTCTGTCCTCTGCTATAAGCAGGCACATTGTGCCCCTCTGCACAGCACCCTGTAACAGGTTGCCCTCCCCAGCAGCATTTTTCATTTCTGCCAATGAGGGGCACCCTTGAAGTCCCTTAATGTTTCATTTTCTCTCGTTCGTCTCGTATCCTGCCTTTACTCTCCTGCCACGTCTTGATGTAAATATTATTTAGATGCTCTTACAAGTGGGAGACTGCCTATTGTAATTCTATGTTGGGGTTCTCAGCCACCATGGGCCTTGTCCCCATCTTCCTCTAGCTAGGCCTACCAGTCTAAATCCACCAGATAGGGTTAGACTCTGAGGCTCTAGCTACTTAGTCTTCTCGGAGCCTGTGGCCCTCCTTTTGTTTTCAATATGAAGCCCAGGCTTTCTAGCTCAGAGGCGTGTCTGCTAGGCATGGAGCCAGCAGGACTCAAGTTCCAGTCCAGGCAGCAGCCCAAAGCTCTTACTGCCCAAGGGTGCCCTTTCCATTAGCTCGGGCTGCTAGCCGAGATCCCCCCACTGGGACCTGGCTTAAAAGTCCTGCAACCAGCTCCGAGCTACAGGCCCTGTATGGCTGCACACTCTAGTGCATTAGGCCCTTTGGCCTTTTATGACTGCACCCAAGGCACTAATGAAGCCTCCTACAGCCTCAACCAGAACCCACCAGTCTATCAATCAACAAATATGTATAAGCAGTAAGTCCATGGGTTATAACCACAAAAAAATAGAAATTAAAGAAGGCAACATGCCAGCTTACATTTCTTCATGGCTTGGTGCTTCTGCTTCCCCATTGTCTGTGATGCTCCTCCCTATGGCGCTGCCGCCACTTCTCTGAGAGTCATCAGGAGTTCCCTTCTCACAGCAGCCGGACCGGCCGCTAAGCCTCTCTGTCAAGCTCTCATGCACAACCTCCTTCCCCTTTGGCCGCTGCCTTTAACTGCTGCCAAGCCCAGGGTTTTTATAGTTCTGGCCTGCCCCCTTTTCGGTCACCTGACTAGCCGACCTGGCTCAGCTTTAACCCCTACACTGCCAGCAGGCTGTGCCCAGAAAGTTCTGGTCTTAAAGGGACCAGCCTGCTTTCTGATAACAGGGTTAGGATTCCCTGTTATACACCCACTTTCATTTGTCTGTTGCATTCTTTCTTTTAAGCTAAAAAGGGACAAAAAAACTAAGGACACTTTATTTTTTTCCATGTTAATGGAGAAAACACACTGCTAGTCAAAATGACTTCTAGCAGTTCTGGTGACTGATATTTTTATTTGCCAATATATCTGTACAAAGCCAGCTTTCACTTCTTAACAGCTACGTCCCCACAGTTGCAAAAAAAACTTTAAAAATATACATGCAGGGATAAGTAAAGCAGTGCTCTCTTTCCTAAATCTGTAATGGAAAAATAGCACTGGGGCTAGTAATTGAAAAGCATGCTGCAGGCAAGGAGGAGGAAGCGGGGGGAATCAGCCAGTCATCAGCCTCAAAGATCCTTTACACATGCAGGTAAAGGCACGACTGGATCTAATGTGGGATCCAAACAATTGCACCTCCTGCCATGCCACTAGTGCATGGCAAGAGGCACGATTATGGGATTGTGTATTAGATCTAACCACGCCTTATTGTCCGTGTAGGAGGAGCCTGATCCTGGGCTCCTCCTGCATCAGCAAGAAGCAGGCACCCATAGCTGAGAGCACCCTTTGCTGAGGGGACTCCCACCCACAGGGGCCACACACAGCCAGAACTAAGAGTCCTGCAGCTGATGGGGCTCTGGGTCCCGGGTGTGCTTTATATGAGGTGCAGCTGGGACCCAGAGCCCCATCAACTGCAAGGTGTTTCAGTCCTGCCGAGACCCAGAGTCCTGTCAGGTGTGAAACTCTCAGTCCCAGCTGCAGGTAAGGTGCAGGCAGGACCAAGAGCCCAGTGTGGGGTTTCCTGCACCCCAAGCCTTAGGGGACATGGCAACCGCAGAGTTACACAGGGCTCTCAGCTACTGGGGAGACCCTGCTACAAGTGCAAATTAAAGCTCAATAGCAAGCAGCTATAGAAGTTAGTACATATTTTTGAGATCTAACTTTATAGTTGGTTGGAGCTTTTTATCATGTGATAACTACTTTGCACATGTAGCTAGTCTCAAGGTAATTGCACAATTAACCAGATAATTGAGCGATACCTGTCATGTGTATAGGGGGCCTCTTATATTGAACTGGGAGACCCATATCCTCTGAGTTCTACAGCAGTCCATCTGCCTCAGAGCCAGACACACTCACCTTGGCCAGATCAAGAGGTGTTTTTACTTCCTCAACAGGCACATCAGGCTCAGCATACACAGGTGTTTCCTGCTTGTTCCTTCCTTTGCGTCTACCCCGTTTGGCTTGGTCTCCGGCCCGTTGCACCTCTGAAGTCTCTAAACAGTTGTGCACACAGGAAGAAAGGCATATTAGCTTTCAGCAAGAAAGGACAGCATCCATGAACTCTGGTGCTCTTAGGAAGAACACTCACCAATCAAT